TCAATAATGATCAACAAATCGTAATAAAATCAATAATGATCAACAAATCGTATAAAATCAATGGTGATTAATAAATCGTATAAAATCAATAATGATCAATAAATCGTATAAATCAATAATGATCAATAAATCGTATAAATCAATAATGATCAATAAATCGTATAAATCAATACAAACCAAATAAGTAAACAAGGAAAAGGTAAATAAATAAATAATACAAACCAGAAAGGCCAATTGAAATTGTAAATAAAAATTGAGCATTTCTGTTAACATCTGTTGACTGTGAATAACAAAAGCAAATCATTGCAAAAACAGCCAAAAATTGGCCAAATAATAGTATGTACAATAAAGTATGTTGCCAATCTGAAATTTTCTTATCATTAAACTGCAAAAAAATGAACGAATGAATGAATGAATAATTAATTAATTAATTAATTAAAATTATTTAACAAATTTTTACAAGCATTTGCAGAAGAAGAAGAAGAAGTAATCGGATAAATTAATAAATATGATGATAGGAAGGCATATGAATATAACTATAGAATATAAGAATTAAAATTACGAACTAACCATAGAATGCAGGTGTCCGAATACTGACCACTTGTGGATTTGTGTAAAAATCAACATCAGTCTTGGTGAATGTATAAGTGCAAGAGAGCATTCCAGATGGTCTGCGAAATGGGATAAATTAAAAAGAGACTTAGGATATCTAAGGATTAGAACATGATATGATATGATATGATAACGTCCAAATTTTTGATATATTATTAAATCTCACTCTTTTTTTGAAATAATAATTACATTATATTTAACAATCCTAAATTCTAAATAGAATTTAAAAAGAAATAATCAATAATTTACCTCGTTTGACAATTCATCCATAATCCACTTTGTATCCATTGTTGTAATTCTCGAACATAAACTACCTAAGTGATAGAATTAACTAATATAAATTCCTTTGAAGATAACTTTTGTCATTACTCTATTCATTAACATTAATCCATCCATTTAGAAACAAGAAGAAAAGTTTAATAATATTAGCTTACTGTTTCATTTCACATTAGCTTTATGAATATTACAATCTTGATAAGTATACAACAATATATTTAAATTGGATATTTTTAAAAACTTTTACATTTCATTATTTTTTGAAAATGAAATTTTAGGGGGAAATATTTTAAAATAATCCTTCAACTGTCACAAAACAAAATGGTTCACCTGCCATGCTGGTGTTGCTAGTGCTACAAAATTGATGATCGTCCCAATTAAGGCAATGATAAATGAGGGAATTTGTAGTACTCCTCGTGCAGATACCATTGAAAGGGTCATAATTTATAGGATCAGTGGTAGAGAAATAGTAATTAGTCTTTAGAATATTTTATAGATACTGTAGCTACAAACAGTAATACTAGGAGGTCTCAATTTTGACATCTGTGAAAAATGCAATTTCACTATCAGTACCTAATATATATCAAATATTTTCGTAATAACCTGAAAATGTTGATTGGTGAAATTTGAAAATGATATCAAATGTTATTTAAGGTTCCTTCATTTTTCTTCAAATAAACAAGATCAGAATTGGAAGGAAAAAAAGATCTCTATTAAGCCATATCTAAAAGGACTTTCCGGATAGATACCGGTAGGGTTAACTGTCAAGTACAATAAAAGCAAGTATTTAATTATTTATAAAAGAAGGATGGGAATAAAGCCATTGTAAGGAATAAATCGATGATCTTTTGCAAAAATAGCGATTAAAAACGTTGAAATTCTCAAGTGATAGCACATGGATGTAAATTGAAGAGTCGTCGTCGTCCTCTTATTAAACAGGTTTCTGCGCGGCGCATTCGTCCATATACTCCACTCTCAGTTATTGTTATGCATGAGACAGACATGAATTAAATCGTTGGAAAAAATTTTTCAAACGTTTGTGTATACAATGAAAATCGATTGTTAACCCACCTTTTCTTCATTTCTTGCTGCTCCGCAAATGGTTGTCAAGGACAAAATTGCAGGTAGAGTTTCACTTACCGTTTGTTGACAACATCTAGCTGCTGTTGTTATTATTGTTCATTTTGAAAAAGTGATCGATTAAGGATTAGAGTGGACAGAAATATATTCTAGCTTACAGATTAAAATATTTGTTACTCTTGAAATTTTGCTCAAAATATAAATGGACATAATGAGAGATTTAAATTTAATTAGATCTAAATTTCATCGATTCGAAAAACTAAATTATAGAAATCCAACATCAATTCCATATTTCTTTACAGATTGAATTGTGAGAAAGTAAAATCGATTGACATATTTCAGTGTTTAGCATTGAAGAATACTCCCAAGAAAACTTCTTAAGATTGCTAAATTACCAGTGATATTCGATTGGGATTACAATTACTACAACAAGTAATGAGTAAGCTTAAGCTTACTAAGATTAGCTTCAACAAATTTAGCTGTAACACTTGAAGATACCAATGTATAGGACATGTGGAATAAACTTGTGGGAAAAGCAAAAATAACGGATGGAAGGAATTATCGTAGAGATATGATTAATGATAAGTAATCTGTAGCAAATGCTACATCTCATTGCTTTTTATTACAATGATAAATCTGAAGTTCAAAGGATAATGCCCGTTTGAGGAGAAAATATTAGCAAAAGGAATTGAGAATTTGAAAGAGTAAGAAAGATGAAAAATTAAAATCGGATGAAAAGTTTTAAGAATATGAAATGATTGCCTACTATAATAATTTATCATAATTAAGAAATGTTGCAATGTAAGATGACAATAAGGAATGATTTCATTTCTCAAATTGAAGATAAAAGGAATTTTAAAATAGCAAAAAGCGTATGTTAAATATAACAGAATTAAAATTTTGCAAAAATGATTCAACATGAATGAACTGAAATTAAAATTTATTAAAATCTAATAGATACCTGACATGATATTTATGACAAAATATTTCAACATTCTTTATCTCATTTCAAATTAAATAAAAAGCAATACTATCTATCCTGTCTTGAATCCAAAAAATAAGACTATTTAAAGTATTTTTTGGCTAATTTTTTTCCTGGCTATTTCTGAAATTTAGCAAAAATTTTTCACAGAATTTTAACATACAAACACGTACAAAAAACATACATGTAAAGAATTGTAACAAATAATATTGATGCTATAATCAGAGAATGTGTAAAATTCATTTGTCTAATAAAATTTATCAGTGTTTGATAAAAGAATGGCCAAGTATCAGAGAGAACAATTGAAATTTTCGAATGACAACTGACAATTATATTGTTGAAAATTGTCTCTGAAATGCTGCTTCTTAAGATATTGCAAATTTTCACGAAAAAAAAAGAAAGTCCCTTATCAATTGATTTTATTACATTAATGGAAATTTTTGTCACAATAATTTACCGAACAATTAACATAAGAATGTATGTCAACTTTTTAAATTAAAAAATGTCTTTTGAATCAAAAAAAGTAATTCATTTCTCTGCATTCCTTCTGATCTTTCATGTTTCAATTACAATACTAACTCGATCTTTTTAATTCTAAAATTTAAAAATCATTTTTCAAAAAATAATAAAATTTTAACTAATTTTAAAGCTTAGATTTTATGTGATATTGTTTTCAAAAAGAATTCAATAAAATAATTGTGGTAATTTTTTACCCCTTTTTTCTTTTTTTTTTTTTAATTAACTCGTCTCAGTTGATATGAATGGTATTTATAAATAGTATTAACATATTCTTTTAACATTTTGAAAAATTAAATGATTGACCTTGTAAGCTATAAAGTTGATATTAAATTGATTATTTTTGAACTTACTTTTCTTCTCTTTCAGTTATTTCAATATATCGATGTATATTAGCCATTTCATTACTTTTCTCTTATTATTTGTAGTCTTTTCGTCTTCTCTTTTATAGGCCCTAAAATTGTTCTAGCAATAAGTTTGATAAGATTAAGAAAAAAAAAATAAACCATTCCTATTAGCTATTCATAAATTCAATGGACTAATTCAATACTTTCTTTCCTTTCTTTTTTTTTCTGTTCAAACAAAGTTAATGAAATACAAATTTTCTTTGGGATATTCCAAGGAAACTTGCCATTTCAAATTCAATAAAAACTTTGATTGTTCACTTTAGAAATTTTTTTTTCTTTTCAGAGATGAAAAAAAATTCAAACATATGCAAAAACACAAATAGATTGAAAATGAAATTAAGCATTCTTTTGTAATTTATCTTGCAAGAAATTCCAACTTATTCTAAAATAAACAGATTTGTTTCCGGAAACAATCAAACTAATCATCCCATTTAATGTCAAAATCAGATACATACGAAATCTTTTCTTCATTATTGTCAACTTTCGTCATGCTCTATTCCACCACTGATTTGTCATCACAAGCATACAAGCCTAGCCATAAATGAAGCGGAACAATGATTGCAATCTATTCGAAAAAGTTTTCATTCAAAAAATTTGAATTTATAAGTCAGTTTTTCTCATCCTTTTGCTTGATTACTGACATCGCCAGTAATTATCTCTTTTAAATATCTAGTACTTTTATTCCGTCTAGATGAAGTTGGAGCTTGAATATTCATAAAATTTTACTACCATAAAGTGATGACATATGACATGGCAAGTACGTAATTATGCATCCAAACAGCAAATTGCTTGATTCTGTGATTTCTTGAAAAATTAACTTTTTAAAGATCCAAAAATTTCCTACTTGAAAATTTTAAAACTTCTAAAATATTAAACTTTAAAGTTAGAAACTGGAATGGACATATGATATTAATAACAGATGTAAAATTAATGAATATTTAATTTTTCTCTTATCTCAACATATATATGCATGTAATCTAAAGTTGAACTTTTTCCAAACTTTTCAAAAATTTATTGAAATTGGAAAAAAATTGAAATGATCAAGTTTTGCGATGTATTCTACAGAAAAAAAAAAGAAAAAGGAAAAAGAAAGAAGCAAACTATAAGTAGGACACTTCAACAAAACCAAATAAAAGATCTTTTTGGAATCGAAAATTTTTCATTTATATCTTCTGCAACTTGCCAATAAGCTTGCTATATTTTCATCCTTATCAGAAAATGTTGTAATGATAATTTCTACTATTATACATTTCTTTATAGTTCATCATTTTATTTTTTTGTTGAAATTATGACAAAGATATTACCGCATAGTGCAAAAAATATCATTCATCAAAAATTTCACTGTTTTTATTTGTGCTTCAAATAAATATTTAGCAAAAAAAAGTTACCAGTTGAAAATAAATTTAATATTTCAATTTGATATGCAAATGAAAATTGTTTTTTTGTCATTAATGTTTAACTTGCTATTAGCAAAGAGATTGCTAATTTCAATTCCAACATGAATTTCAATTTGAAATTAAAATATTTCATATAAGTAAACAATTGTAGTAAATAAGCAAGCAATTGTAGTAAATGGCTGACTATTTGCTGTTGTTATAATAAGTTATATGGGAAGCTAACATTATCCCAAGAGAATTCACAACGATTTATGAATTTGTAACTTAGCAAAAGCAGAAAGCCTCGTGCAAGTATTAAGTTGTAGCTTCTAGTTGAATCAACATACACATACACACACACACACACACACACACACATGCACACATACACACACATACAATGACATACATAAAATAAACACCACAGACACTATTTTTTGCTCCTTTCATAGATATTGTGCTTTAAAAATTATGCTTCATTTCAAATCCATCTTTTAAAGAATTCAATGTTTGCTATTTTTCTGTCCTGTTAATTTGTCTGTCAACAACAATGCCTTTTTCACTAAGCCTAAACCTAGGAGGCTTAGGCTTTCTTCACTTAAACCTTTTCCTTGCAAACTTCTTTCATTTTTGAAAAACTAAATTTGTATGGCTAATATAATTAATTTAAATTAATCATTAATCAGAATAATTATTATTACTGCAAAAAAAAAAAAAAGAACAGATTACAATGTGATAAGAATTTACGTTACGTATGAAATAATCGTACGTGTGATCATACACGCATGATCTCATAACATTTTATTTGTTTGTTTTGTAAAGTGTTAGAAGTTATTTGTTGATTCGTTCAACTATAGCATTCTCATAACTTCATTCTCCCTTTGGGAAAAATGCCTATGCATTGGTGAGTGATAAACACTCAAAACATTTTGTTCTTTAAACTGTTTGTATATGACGTAATGAAAAATGTTCAATTATATTTTAAATTTTATCATTTATTTAATTAAAATATTACAAAAATTGTGCATTTAAATTGATAAAATTTATATGAAATGGTTTTTTTTTTTAGAAATAGCAATTGATATGTAATTGATTGTTTTAAAGAAATTCAAAAAAATTAAATTTATTTGCTAACATTTTCATCGATAAATCATTTAACCATAAATATTATAGCAAAACAATATTTAATACAAATGAAATTTACACAACAAATTGACAGTAATTTTTCACAATGCAAAAAAGGAATGCTTTGACAAAGGTGTTTATCAAATAATCTTTTAGTTTGGACCTTAGCTAGGCTATCTTAAAATTGGTAAATTAATTTATTTGTGCTATCCATCTTCCTATCCAGTTCCATTTCTTTTTTTTTTTTTTTTCTACTATATAAAATTATTTTTTGTGCAAAATTTATTCACGAAAATTGGATATCAAATTGACTTTTCATTGGAATATATCAGTAATGAAATATTTTAATAAATAAATGAATTATGCAATTGTCGCCCAATTTTTTATTTTTACAATTATATAATTTTAGCAAATTTAAAATTTGTTGAATTTTATTTGTTGGAAATTAATTTAAAAGGAAATGAAGAGATTTGATTACAGAAATGTAGTGATTATAATTGTTGAAACTTTTACAAACGATCACAAATCTTACTTGTAGACCGTTCCTGATCAATGTATATCTGCTTTCAGTATATTTACTGAATTCTCAAATTCATTCAGTTTACACAACTTTTTTTTTCCAATTCACAAGTTTTTTTTTTTTGCAAGGTTATTAAGAAGCTAATTCAGTAATTACAATTCTTTTGTCTCCCAATTTTTTCATTAAAAATTAAAATGAAAATTTTAATTTTATGTCTTTTTTTTTAAACAATTATCAGACTGGTCATTGCATACATTGTTAAACAATTTCATTTCAACAAAAATTTCATATCAAATTACATCATATCAAGCAATGTGACATTAAAATGACAACAATATATTTAATTAGCATATTTCAAAGCAAACGAATTCAAATTTTTTACTTCTTTCAAAAAATTATTTTAATTAGAAAATAATTATCCTTCCAAAAAAAAATGCATAGAATGCTGATAGTGTATACTGTACAACAAATGCTTTATTATTGAATTAGTACAAAGTTAAATTATGAAAGTATAAAAGTATCGGAAAAGAGTATAATTTCATGAGAATCTATGGAAAGAGAAAAAGAAGGAAGGAAGTAAAGGAATGATGTGACAAACCGATGGCTCCAAAAAATATCGATCACAGAATATGGGACAAAGGAAGCACATGAATACTTCATTAATTGCCCAACTGATTTTATGCTTTTAACATTTCAACAAATGTCACTTGCTTACCATATTTGCATAACACTTACAAATTGGTCCACTTCAGAATTGACTGACTATATGTCCATTTATCAAATTTGCTTTCTACCAATAATGGTCACTGGGCTTATTCATTCATCCATTCATTGATCGTTCAAAATTTTGTTGAAAACAGTATCTTGATTTATTTATGGATTGTCTTCATCACAAGTATTACTGATTTTTTTCTTAGGAATTGATCACATACAGTATCCTTTGTTTTTTTTCAGATTTAATCATTTCAATAAATTCTTTAAAGATTTATTTAAATTTGAAATTAATTTACATGAATCTTTAAATGTGATATTTAAAAACTCATCAAAAAATGCTGATAATTTGAAAAAATTTAAATTTTTTCCAATCAATTTTTGATATTTGTTAATTATATGCATAATAATCATAATGATAATTGCAGTTCGATTGGCGGCGACATGTCGATACCAAATGTGATATCATCAGAAACGATGAATCCAACATCTTTGTTAAGTCCAACTTCTGGCAATGTCCTGATGCTGTTAAACGTCTTGTATACCCCAAGCCTTCTCCTTCATACTCCCAATCTTCCACTATTAAATGGTCAGTTTGTATAGATATCTTTGCATTGATACAAAAAGAAAAAAAAAATGTGGACAAGTTTTTGGAGAAGAGTAAGAATGAATCATTTTAATAAAAATGAAACAATCATCGAAAGATGCTCGATGATTCATTCAAAAATTTTTTTTTTTTACATCTCTTTCTCTCTCAGAACAAGTGTCATCATAATTGTCATATTTGCAATATCGGATTCGTAATATCTTATAATCTTGCAAAAATTTATACAAAATTTAAATATTTAAAAAGAGCCATAGGACAGATAAATCCAATAAATTAGCTTATTTCTGAATGAAATTAGATTGCATTTCAGATTTTTTTAACACTTTCTAATATGACTATCAAAGAAGTAAACAGAAATAAAAATGGGTAAAATGATGATTTTTAAAAATTGGATATGGTTTTCTTTTTTTTTCCGTTTGCTAAAAATATGAAATTTTACTCCTTGTTTATCATTGATTTTAACATGCAATGCCTTTTTTGCGCAATTTGTTTTTGTTTGATTTATTGAAGGCGCTTTTTTCCATATTATATTTTACTGTTTACAACTAAATTTTACTATTTTTTAATTCTAATTTTATGCAAATAATGCGAAATATGAAACAAAAGAAAATCTTTAAATAATCCACTCTTCTTTCTTTCTTTCTTTCTTTCTTTCTTTCTTTCTTTTTTCCTTTTATAAGAAAAAATGAAAAGTGATGAAATGAAACAATGCAATATTTACCATTCATCAAAAGCAAAACATGCAATTTTTTTAAGAAAAAAAAAACTTTGCAGCTAAGGTACTTCGAGAATTGAATAAATTGCTTACAAACTTAAATTGCAAATTACTTTTTGAGAAAATGTAAGGAAAAAAAAAGCAACAAATATAGCTTTTGACAATTTTTTTAACCTAAAAAAGATAGCAGTTAAAAGAAATTTTAAACTATAATAATATTAATTATACTCAGTGAATGTTCTACTGGAAATTGTCAACAAAATTATAAACTTATAAAATTTTATAAAAGAAAAAAAGAAAAAATATAAAATTATAAAGTCTTATAAGTTTAACTTATTTTAAAAAGCTAGAATTTTATGTGGAATAAAAGAAATATTGAAAGTATGAAGTTTTAGCGTTAGTTTACACAATTCGTGCAAATTACATTTGAAAATTATCAAATTGTTAAAGAGTATTAGCGGAAAAAATTTTCAAGCTTAATAAAAATTTACATGAAACTTAAATTTTAGCATATAATTAATCTGTAACAGTTAAAATCAAAAGCAAAGCAGTAAGCAATAGATCAAAATTGGTAGCTATAAAGTTTAAATTTGCATTAATTTTTATTGGATTTTCCTTTGCTTTTTCCATCTGTCACAAAGATAAATTGAAATTTATTCAACTTTATTTCACATATCTCCGCCTTTTTCATTTTATCGCCTTTCTGTTTTGGCAGTTTGAGTTGTGACGAGTGGGAAATATCGTACCATTAAGTGTGTTAAATTCTAAAATACTTGAACTTTTTGATAGCTGTTTTTTTTTTTTTTTTGAAATTAGAAGATCAACCATTCATTCATCATCGCCTCTTCAAAATTTGAGAGATGTCGCATGGAATAAAAAGTTTGTCGTTTATTTTATTTATTGCTTTTTACAATCTTCATTATATACTATCACAACAAACTCTCTGCTACCGTTATCTTTTCTTTTATTTTGACATTTTGCATTTCATCAATCATTAAAAGAAATTTTTATTTTAGCTTCAAAAAACTTTTCAAAAAAAAAACAAAGAAAAAAACATGGAAATTGTGAATGCAAAACTACTATATTCAAGGGAAATGAGAAAAAATTCAAAGAAAAAAAGAGGAATCATGACTTTTTTTT